TCCTGGTATGTAAAATGTGGGTAATATTAGCGTTGGTGCAAACGTTAAATGTGAAATAATACATGTGACCTACTTCGCAGTGTACCAGGCACAAAGGTAGTAAGAGTGGTGGCTGTGACAGTCAAGTGAAAGGCCTTGGTTTTTCTATCCGCACCATCAGAGATGGGCCACGTGCTAATCAAAGACCTTTCCTCTCTGACCTATTTCCACTCTCACCACGGTGAAAATTAAGGGTAGCGTAGAACCTGACCCTGCTTTCAGTCGGGGACCTCCCTCTCTACCCTGAAAAATTCCAGTCACGACCCAGGAGCCCTTCTAGAATGGGGGCATCCATCTTCGTATGGATGGAAGGACGGAACCTGGGCAAAGTCTGTAAACGAAATGGCCTCAGGCCTCTGGGCTTTCCTTAACAACCGACGCTGGCGCCCGTTGCTAAGTGGGAAGGAAGCACAAGGATGTGGTTCGTTGTCTATTGCTCTCCGGTGACGGCTACTTCCGGTCCTCCTGGGAGCCCGTCCTTCGGCCTACCTTCCCCTAAGGAGCGGGGACTCTGACTGCCGGTTCCGCCGCCGCGGGAGCCTTCGGAGCCCTCGGTCCGGCGGCACCGGTGGCAGCTGCTGGGGCGGCGGCGGACCTCCGGCGCGACCGCAATGCTGAGCTCCCGGGCCGAGGCGGCCATGACCGCGGCCGACAGGGCCATTCAGCGCTTCTTGCGGACCGGGGCAGCCGTCAGGTGAGCCTGGGGGGGCGGGGCGGCCGAGAAGGCCGGCACTGGAGTCTTCAGACCCGGCCTGTGATGGTCTTTTCACGCCCCAGTCAGGGTTCCCAGGGCCCGGGCGGGCACTCCGCAGCTTCTGCGTCCTGTAAGGTTGGAGGCCCAGCGCTGAGGTGGGAGGGATGACTGCCTCCCAGGACCTCAAGTCCTTCAGCAACACCAACTGTCAGCGCCTTCCCTCCCCTGCTAGGGGCCCTCCCCCATCCTGTGATTGTCCCCAGAACTGCCAGGCCCCAACCCCCATTATTTTCAAAGCCTCAAATTCTGCCCGTATTCCCCATTCCTCTCAGTGCCTCTTAGGCCTGCCAAGACTCCTCAGTCTTTCTTGAACACCCCTAATCAAATCCTTCTGGGCCTCCAGTCATATCAGTTTCTGGACTGCCAGGGTTTCCCAGTCTTGCCCAGCTCCCAATCCTGCCATTGTCTTACAGTCCTGTAAGTGCCCAGCGCCTGCAAGACCTCTCTCTCCGTTTTGTCAGTACTCTTTTTCCTGTTGGCCTCCCCAGTTCTTCTGGGAACCCCCACTGCTGTCTTGGTCCCCAATATTATTAATGTGAATAAAGACCCTTATCTTGCAAGAATCCCTAAGCTAGACAGGGGTCCTCAGCCTGTTAAAACCCTCCATTTTCAATTGTGTGGATTGCCAATCCTGTAAGGGCCCCCATTTTTCTCTTTTAAATCACCCTACCATGGGCTTTGGGCTTCAGATCTGAACATCATGCTTCCATTGCTGACACCAGATGTCTGAGACCTGTTGCTGAGGTCAGCTTCTTCTGGAACTAGAGCAGGTCTAAATAGCTTGTTATCACAGGGATGGAAGTCCTCAAAGGCCATCCTGTCCATTGCCTCCATTTCTTTTCTTTTCTTTTTTTTTTTTTTT